CTTGACTCCTGAGAAGCTCAGTTGCTTACTGTGCAAATGAGTTGGCAGGATGTTTTGTTAGTGGCTTAGTACCCTTACTAGGTATTTTCCTAGAACCTTCCAAATCAAACTACTTGCCCTTAAATTCTTGCTTTAGAGACATCTTCAGGGAGAATCCAGTCTTCAGTATGTATCATTACAAACTGTGATGTGTGCCAGGGAGAAGGTCATGGGACACTCTGGGAGGAGTTATCTGCTTCAGGGTCAAGGGAATGAGGGATTGCCTGGGCAGCTGGGGAATGGAGGGGAGGAGCCTGGTGGGAGAAAAGGGACATAGGAGGACCTGAAAGGCCTTGGTGGTGCTAGGAGACCAGAATTTTGGAGAGAGGTGAGAGAGACATGCCTACAGGGTCTTGTGAGGAGTTTGGCTGGTCTATTCAGACAACCCCAAAAAGATAGTAAGGGGGCCACATCAGAAGAGTAAAACAACAGGTTGGCCTCCCCCAGCAAAAATGTGGAGAAGGCCCGGAGAGTGGGGGTGTGCGAGATGGGGCCTGAGACCTCTATGGGGACCCAGGGCTTTACACAGGGGGAGACTCGCAAATGAGCACTCAAGTGGAAGGTCACTATTAACTTTGTGTCTGACTGACCACAACAGCCTGTTTCCTGGCCACTTGCAGAATGGCCTCCCTTAATCAATAATGTCCCTCATGTGTCTGGGGCTTTACTTTAACTCTGTCAGGCCTTTTCCTCAGAGAGCGTGGAGGAGGTGACTGCCTTCTTTTCTCCTTCCCCCTTCCCCTCTTTTCCCCCTCCTCTCTCCTCCTCTCCCTCTGCACCCCACCTCTCATCTTCCTCCAAGAATCCTTTCTAATAAGGCTGATTGCATCGCATAGTCTCCAGTGCCATTACTGGAGGCGCTTAATTCCCATCTGTTTTGGGGTCACGCCCAGCGGTGCTCAGGAGTCACTCCTGGTGGTGCTTGACATGTGGTGTTGGGGTTCGAACCCAGGCTGGCAGCATACCAGGCAAGTGTCTTGCTTGCTATTGTATCACTCTGGCCCCTAATTCTCTCTGTTATCTTTAGGCTCTGCAAATAAAGTCAGTGAAAATAGAAATACATTGTGAGAACAGGTAAGTTAGTTTATTATTTTTTTCTTTTTCTTGAAATACCAAATCCAAGGCCTCATACCTGCAAATGTGTGCGCTTTTCGTTGAACCCGGCCTGTGAGCAGGGGCTTTGAAAGAGGATCTTTGGGGGCTGGAGTTGAGGCTCTGTGAATCCCTGGCAGGGAGCGGCCCAACCCCCTTGGTCAAAGCCACCAATAGTGGCCTCCATAACAATAAATAAAGTGGATGTAGTCAAATGCCGTCACAATGCCAAAAGGAAAAGTGTTCCAAGGCCCTAAACTTTTTGGTATCACCATATAATGGTCAGTCCACTCTTCTTTTTTTCTTCATTTTTTTGGCTTTTTGGGTCACACCCAGCAATGCTCAGGGGGATACTCCTGGCTCTGCATTCAGGAATTACTCTTGGTGGTGCTCAGAAGACAATATGGGATGCCAGAGTTTGACTTGGGTGGGTCGCATGCAAGGCAAATGCCCTACCCGCTGTACTATCACTCCTAGTCCCCACACTTAGTCTTTTAATGGAAAAATTTCCATGGTGGGAATGATTGTGCTGGATACTTATAATCTTTTTATTTTTCTTATTTTTTTATTTTTTTGTCCTTCTTCGTTTTTTTTTCTTTTTTTATTAGTGAAAAACCATGAGGTACAGTTATAGGCTTATAAATTTTGTGCTTGGGTTTCAGTTATACAATGATCAAGTGCCCATCCCTCCACCAGTGCCCGTCATCCATCCCCACGGTTCCAGCATCCCCCCCCCAACCCTCATCCCCCCCCCCCCCCCCCCCCCCCCCCCCCGTCCCATCCTGCCTCTGTGGCAGGGTATTCCCCCTTGTTCTCTCTCTCTTCTTTTGGGTACTGTGTTTTGCAAGAGAGGCTTTGAGTGGCAATCATGTTTGGTCTATCGACTACTTTTAGCATGCTTCTCCCACCCTGGGAGGGCCCTCACAACACCCTTCATTTGGTACTCTCTTCTCTTCTAATCTTAACTCATAAGACATTAAGCATATTTTCCAGCCTTGAAGAAGTGGAGATTCACCTTCAGAGATGACAAACATCTGATCATCAGTGTCTTGTCATGGGTGAGCCCTACTAATATATGACTAGAAAACACACTGCGAAATCTAGAATAATATACACCAGGGGCACACTTAGATTTATGAAGCTGCAGAAAGTAACTCTTGACAGAGGTCCAGATCGGCTCCAACCCAGGCTGTAAATAATCTTCCGAGTGCATGTTGTAAATAGTCACAACTATACCCTTTCTCTCCTGTACTCCTTTTTCTAAAAAATCGTGAAATCCTTGCTCATCCCCTTCTTCAACCCAGCAATTAAAGGAAAAAGACACTCTAAATTTCATGTAACCTTTTACACCCAATATTTTCCTTGTCTTAAAAAACAAATCTTGAGCTATCAGGGAGGGCTAGGGTTCATGGCACCCTGTGGGGGGTGGATGTGGGGGAAAAGCTCTCTATGGTGTTTTCATTTTCACCCTGGTGTCCCCTTTTGGCACACTCACCAGTTACCCCATGCTCCTCACCCTGTGTTCTGGCAGGACTGGAGACATGCAAATTGCAAACTGGTAAACAGCGACTTTGCATATTTTCAATAGAAGAGAACAACATGGTCCCACTCTCTGGGCTCACAAGGAAATCAGAGATAATGCCAAGTGCAAGCCAGGGCAGACGGGGATCCTAAGTATTTGCTTCCAAGTGTTTATTATGCTTATTAAATCTATTGTATAGTGATGAATTAATTTGAATTATTTACATGGTCAGCCTGGGAGACAATCGACTGATTTCATCAGAGGATGCAAATGTATCATTTCTCTTTGAAACCGAACAAACAGGTTTCAGTTGGGACAAGGGGCTGCGCTTGTATCTTTTCCTACAGATACTGGAGACATAGCTGCAGTCATCGGGTTAAGTGACATGATGTCAGAAATCAAGAGTGAGTATGTGTTGATGCATTTCTTTGGAAAGTCAACACACTGCCCTGGAGAACACGTGGCCTGGAAATCCAGCTCTTGGTTGACAAATTTCTCCAATCTCTCAGCTCTGTTTATCAGGGAAAACTCTGCATTGAGACACGAGCATGCTTCTCCTCTAAAGTCTAGGACAAGGAAATAGGCCATAAAAAAACTGGAGAGGTTTCCCTTAGATCATAGGCCAATTGACATTGTAAGTGAATATTTGGACTGGAAAGAAATTTTCGATTTTACTGAAGCTGTAAAAACCTAAGCTAAGTTTGCTTTCATGTACAAGTATTATCCAATTATCTTAATTTTATTTTTGGTTTTGGGGCCAGACATGGCTATACTCAGGTCTTACTCCTGGCAGGCTCAGGGGACCATACAGGATGCCAGAGATTGAACCGGGGTTGACCCCCTGCCCATTGTACTATTTCTCCAATGCCCCCTCCCATTATTATTTTTTTAAAATCCAGGTTTCCATTGTTATGGGAACAAAATGAAAAATTGCAGCCTAAGTCTATGGTATGATTGCCCTTTGCCCCTTCCTTGGTGTTTGGCTGTTTGTAAGAATTTGGGTGAAAGGAAAAAAATCTTTATGAAATCAGAAAGAAGGGGCACGGGTGTTTCTGAAGGTGGAGCTTCTTGAGGTAAAGTGAACAGCTTGCCTCTTGAATATTTTATGAGATCTAGATATTAGAACAATGTTTCTGATGCAAGAACATAGTGATCTAGGAACAAATGGGAGAGGAGGCCAGAGGAGGGACTGTGAAATTTCTTTAAAATATGAAGTGATCCAAAGACTGAAGACAGGAAGGGCTGTTGATGCTGCAGATTGTTCCTAATAAGGGTATTAAATGCTGAAGGATTTATTGATTGCATCTGCTCTAACGACCCGCCGGACTGTGCCTGCGTGAATAAGAGGGCTGATTTAGGGTGGTATAATCTCAGCTTCCAGCTGTATTTGGTCCAACTCTCCCTAATGAAAAGAAATTGGAGGGTGAAGAAATCATTTGAATATATCAAGGACGGAAACTCCCACCTGGTTTAGAGGCAAACTCCGGTGTGTTAGGTGAAGGATGGGGAAAGAAAGAAAACCTAATTGTCCTGTTAAATCAGCTACTCGTGGAATCTGGCTACATTAGGAAATCAGCGTTTTCATTACAGATCAGTTTAAAAAGCCCTAGAGAAGAGACAGGAACTGAAGCAATATTATCCAGTAACAATCTAACTCCTTTTAGACATCAGCCAAGAGAATATCAGCATCACTGAACAGGAGGTTTGTCTTAAGATAAAGACTCATCTTTCTTTCTTTCAGGATATAAAACTTGTATTTAAATCAATTCAAGGAAGCACTTAAGCTTTAAACAGCAGAGAGAGGGGAGAGCCTATTTAATAAAATCGCATTATTTCATTTTCAAAGAAAGCTGCCAGTAGTTCTGAGTTTAAATTCTGTATTCTTTCCCTCAATTATAATTATAGATGGGTCTGAAAGGAAGCAAGCCTATTACTGTCATATTTATTCTTTTGACAGGTGTTATGGGACTGTAATTTGACGAAATGACTCAAAACGCATATTTCCATCCAAATATAATTCCTGTCACCAACATGAGCGGTTTAGGAGAAGTCCTCCCGCACGCACGCCTTTTCAGTTCTTGAACACCCCTAAGTGTTTGAGCAGCAAGGCATAGGCAGAAATCTGGGGGAGAGCCTGCCTCCAGGGGTGCGATGCAGCTCGAGGAAGAGTGGGTTGCTCAAGATAAAGAAAGTTGTTAGGGGGGGCAGCTTGCTTTCCTCTCTGGGCGGGGTCACACCAGGAAAGGGGGAGCCCAGCAGGCACTGCCTGTAGGGGTTCCCCGAGTCCCCCGCGCGGCCGGCAGAGGGCGCTGTGTGCGCAGAGGCCGGGCGGGGGCGGCGCCGCGTGCGCGCGCGTCCCGGGGCGCAGGCGCACTCGTGGCCGCCGCGTCCGCCGCGCCCGGGACGGACGTTTCCCCGCGAGGAGGCGGGTGAGCGGCGCGGCGGCGGCGGCCGGGGCGGGCACGCGGGCGGGTGCGGGGGCCGGGGCCACCGGCGACTGCGAGGCATGGGGGGGCGCCCGCGTGGGCCCCGCGCTGCCGCTGCCTTTTTTTGCGGCGGCTCCGGAGCGCGGCCTGTGCGGGGCCGGTGCGGGGCCTGTGCGGGGCCGGGCGCGGGCGCGCGGGCGCGCGGGCCTGTCGGCCCGTCTGCCCGTCTGCCCGTCCGCTCCCAGGTCCGGTGGCCCAAAGGCCGAGCTCTTGTCCTGTTGGGCTAGCGTGGAGTTTGCAGCCCACACCGATGCCAGTTTACCACCATTTACATTATTCACCGAAGAAACCCCAAGAAACCGTTTATTTATTTATTGCTACTTCTTGGGGTACTGGGGGCCACCCCTGGGGGTAATCCGGGCTTACTCCCGACTCTGCACAGGGCTCATTCCTTGTGGACTTGGGGGACCATGTGGGGTGTCCGCATGCCAGGCCTGTGCCCTACCCATTTTACTATCGCTCTGTGCCCCAGAAATCCTAGGGACCGTTTGTTCTCTGCCTTGGGATTTGTCTAATCTCAAGGGTTTCCTTCCCTTCGAGGTGGCTGTGTTTGCTTTCGGCGTTCAAGGGCTGTGTTGTAGCAGTTCTTCATTTGTCTTTATTATAAGGAGATATTCCGCTGTGTGAATGGGCCACAATTTAGGCAATCACAGCCGACCTGGGTTCAATCTCCAGTATGCCACATGGTCTTGCTAGGAGCATTCCCTGAGCAGAGCCAGGAATAAGCCCTGATGTGACTCCAGAACAAAACAAAAATCAAATCATACGCACATGTATTGTTTCTTGAGCTCCACTCGGTGGTGCTGGGGGGCTACTCTGGCTCTCCTGGTCATCTTTGGAACTGCGGGAATCAGAAGGTGCCTCTGGTCAGGCGTTGGACCCTTGTCTCCTGCAGACAGAGTGTACTCTCAGCCCAGTGAACTATCTCTCTGGCTCATAAAAATCCTTAAAAATTCATTTTTGGGAATCTCTCAGGCTGTAAGGGGTTGTGGGGGCCCTCCAGGTGCGGCAGTGCAAGGGGCTACCAGGACCACCCAGGGGTGCTTCTGTCTCTTATCCTCTCAGGGCTAATTTGATGGTGGTGGAGAGGTCAGGCTACTGCTGGGTTAGTACTCCGGGGATACTCAGGTGTGGGGGAGGAACCCTAGGTGATGGGTCTGCATGCGGTAGGGGTGCTGGCTCCTCAGCTCACCTCCGGGCTGATCTCCCTTCTCAGGTGTGTACCTGGATCTTCTTGAGGTGACCTGCCTTCCTAGGCTGGGCCCTCTGTTCTTGCCCTTCTGCCTTTGGATTCCTGAGGGCCTGGTGGTCCGTTCACCTCAAGTCTAATTAATTGCAGACTGCAGGCTGTTGTCTGCCTCACTGCCCAAATCAATCTTAAATCTCAGATTCCAGATTTAACGTTCCTTTCTCAAAACCCTCTGGCTTTCCCTAACTCCCCGCCCCACCTCGACCCCCTAGCTTTAGCCTAGAATGGAAGGCCCTAGGTGGTTTGACCTGACAACTGTGAAGTTCAGAGAGAGCCAAGGACTCAAGACCAAAAGACGAGTTTGAAACCTGGCTCTGTCACAGGCAGGCTTTGTGGCCACAGGACAGTCAGTTATAGTTGTCACTGGTAAATGGGCATCAAGCACCACATGATAACTGGGTTTCTGTGGGTTTCTGTTCTGCAGCTGTGCGGGGATGCCTGACTTGAGATAGTGTCTGTCCTGTAGACGATGGCAGTGAGCAAGGCTCACCGACAGCCAGGTGTGGCAGGAGAGGGATTTGAACCCAGGCTGCCTGATCCCAAAGGCTGAGAACTGAACCTCCAGATGCAGTGTGTGTCTGATGCAGGAGATATGGGGAGGAGAGCAGGGGAGGAGTTTGATGAGAGAAGACAGATTTCTGAAGGCTGTGGAATAGAGCACCCCACACAGGTTTAGGAGAAGGGGAGTTGCAAGTGTGTTTTTTACAAGTTGTCTTTGGGGGATATTGTAGGGTTGGTATTGGCTGGAAGGAGGGACTGAGCAAGTGTTTGGTACAAGACTAGGTGGGGCTGGAGCTATAGTATAGCAGGTAGGGTGCTTGCCTTGCAGGCATCCAGCCTGGGTTCAATCCCTGGCACCACAGAGTCCCCTAAGCCCCGCTGGGAGTGATCCAAAAACAAACCCCTCAATACCCCAGTGTGACAAAGGAGCTTGGTTCAGTAACCAAGGATCCAGAGAGAGCAGGAAAAATGTAGCATGAATAAGGGATTTGGCTGCAGATGACATAAAGATTGGCAGTGGATGGGAGATGTGCTTGAATGCCCTACCTTTCCCCCAAACACATCCGTGTGAATTGACCTTAGAGCTTGTTTGTTTGTTTGTTTTAATTGAATCACAGTGAGAACAGTTTCAAAGTTGTTCATGGCTGAGTTTCAGTCATACAGTGTTCCAGCACCCGTCCCTTCAAGTTTGGTTGGGATTTTGGGGGGTTTGTTTTGTTTCAGGGGCTGCATGTGGCAGTGCTCAGGGCATACTCCTAGCTCTGCCATCAGGGATCACTCCTGGCAGGGCTTTGGAGATCTTATAGGATGCTGTGGCCATGTGCAAGGCCAGCGCCCTGCCCGTGGCACTCTCTCTCTCATAGAGCTTATTGTGTGTGTCTTTAGTCACTAGCATCAGGCCAGGGACTGAAAGATGAGATCTGTCTTTGGAGGCCCATTCTGGCTGCAGTATCAGGAGGAGGTGGAGAGGAAGCAGAGGGTCTTGGATTAATTCAGGATAAAGGATCTGAGGGCCTCCCCCAGCCTGGGAAGGATGGCCTTCTTTTATTTTCTTTCTTTTTTTTTCCTTTTTGGGTCACACCCAGAGATGCACAGGGGTTACTCCTGGCTCATGCGCTCAGGAATTACTCCTGGCAGTGCTTGGGGGATCATATGGGATGCTGGGAATTGAACCTGGGTCGGCCTCGTGCAAGACAAACACCCTACCCACTGTTCTATTGCTCCAGCCCCATGGTCCTCTTTTCCTTAAGAACTTGGCAGGCAGTCCTGGAGTTGGAGCCCAAGTTGGCATTCCCTTTCCTTAACTCCCTAGCCGGGTCTCTGTGCTCATGTTGGCACCTCCTGCCTTTCCGTGCCCACAGCTCTGAATGATTAGATGCAGTGCACACTTGGGAGGATCTGTGCTTAGGGCTTGTTGGTCTCGGGCCAGAATACATTTCGTGATGGAGGGGGTCTGAGGCACTTATGTCTGGCGGCCCCTCTGGAAGTGGGGAGGCCTGGGTTTCCCACAGGGAGTCCCTCTCAGAGAGTCCCTCTTGGAGCACAGCAGGGAAAGTCTGGAAGTAGATGGGTAGGAGAGGGCACCAAATAGACTATAGACAACAGTCCCAGCAGGGGCATCACTTTCTGGCAGCAGAGGACACACTTGGGTGCCCAGGTCCTGAGGCAGAGCTGTTTCCCTGGGATGGGGGTTTAATTTTGAAGTCATTCAGCCAGCAGGCATTTGTGGAGGAGGCCACTGTGTTCCCACATGTTGGTGGGTACTGAGGGAGCTGGGGTGGAGTCGGGTGTGTGCGGGGAAGTTGACAGAGTCCTTGCACTCGAGGGAGCTGGGTCTGCAAGGGGAGCAGGAAAGGCCGAAACGCACATGCCCTTCCTGCTCATGGTTACTAGAGGCTAACTTAAGAGGAGGGGCTAGGCCTGTGTGGGCAGAAGGGAAGAGGAGGACTTAGCCAGAACATTATTATTTTTTTTCTTGAGTTTTTAAAAAAAATTTTTATTAGTGAAACACCATGAGGTACAGTTGTAGACTTACAAATTTTTGTGCTTGGGTTTCAGTTATACAATGATCGAGTACAAATTTTTGTGCTTGGGTTTCAATTATACAACGATCAAGTACAATGTCCATTTTCCACCACCACGGATCCCAGTATCCCTCCCACCCCTCTTCCCTCCCACCCCACCCTGCCTCTGTGGCAGGGCACTCCCTTTTGTTCTCTCTCTCCTTTTGGGTGCTGTGGCTTGCAAAAGAGGCATTGTGTGGCAGTCATGTTCAGTCTATAGTCTACTTTCAGCATGCATCTCCCATCCTGGGAGGATCCTCCCAACACCCTTTATTCGGTGCTCCCTTCTCTATCTGAGCTGCCTTTTCCCTTAGCATGTGCAGCTGGCCTCCAGGCCATGGAATGAACCTCCTGGTACTTATCTCGGCTATTCTTGGGTATTAGTCTCCTATTTTGTTACTTTCAGAACATTATTTTGAAAGAGCACAAGGAGCTCAGAGTATGGTAGAAGCCTGGAGAACAGGGCAGGTGACAAGATCCACAAGGACAGCCCCAAGCAGGAAGAGGCTCATCAGGGCTCACCACTGTGGGGGCAAGAGTCTATTTTCAGCCTCTTTGCAGTGCAGTGTTCAAGGCCATTCCTGGAAGTGGGGAGCAAGCAGTTGGCTTGGGTGTCATTTTCTCCTTGTGGCCGCAAGGGATGGAGGGGTGGGTGCTGAGGGATGGATTAGGGATGGATGCTGATGAAGGAATAGAGGAAGGATGGGTGCTGATGAGGAATGGGTGCTGATGAGGGGTGGGGTGGAATGGGTGCTGATAAGGGTGAGTGCTGATTAGGGATGGAGGGGTGAGTGCTGATGAGGAGTGGAGGAGTGATGGGTGCTGATGAGTCTCAACAGGCTTTGCCTACAGGGAAAAAATTATCCCCTGGAACTAAGGATGTGACTCAACAGTACAGTGCATGCCTCGGATGCATGAGCACCACACACACACACACACACACGCGCGCGCGCGCGCGCACACACACACACAAATCATCCCTTACAAAGATTTGGAGGTGCAGGAGTGCTGCTAGACAGGACCCCATGTGACCACTACAAGATAAGAAGAAGTCCATTCGTGGGCTGGAGCTGGGATTCTAGGCCGTTGGTTTCTGGGGCCAGACTTTCTGGGTGAGATTCCCGATTTTG